GTCCTTCTTTTCAATCCCAAATAATCCCGGGCGCCTCCTGTTTACGAGACCTATCGGATATCACTCAGAGTTCAACTAATAACGTCAACCAATCAGAGGCTATCAGATTTTTCTAAACCAAATTGTCCCTTTCACCTAGCTACATTCGATGTCCGCACATTCTACCAGATCGGTCAACAAGCTGCCTTAGCCTTGAAACCTTCCATTTAGATGTATGCTGTCTCCGAAACACGCATACAAGACCCTACTTCAGTCATCTCCCTCCGTTCTCCAGATCCAACCTCATTCTCACGCTTCACACTCCGAGTGCCGGGTAAATTCGGCATCCGAAGCTCGCAGTGTTGCTGGTGTTGAGATTGCGCTAAATGTCAAGGCCGAGCGTTAATTTCTCGACTGGATCATCTTTAGCAGCCGACTTTGCGATGTACGTGTCAACAGCCACAGAGCGAAGCGTCGATGTTTGTTCGTCATTTCCGCCGATACACCAACTGATAGCAGTATGCCAGAAGTGGAGGATAAACTCTACAATGACCTCTCTCAACTGTTCTAAATTTCTCGGTCAACGGACATTGAGGTAGTCGGTGGAGACTTCAATGCTTAAGTGGGATTTCTGGACGAGTCAGAAAGGCTACTTGGTGGTTTACATGCAATCCCAGCTAAACAAACTGGCAAAGAAGAACGCATACTTCAACTTTGCCCTGACCACGGACTGTTTCTGGCAATCACGAACTTCTCGTACAAGAAACGACACCTTACATGGAGATCGCCAACGGCTTAACAGTGCTGGACTCAAATCGACCACATCGCCGTCAGCCACCGTTGGCGTGGATCCATTGAGGACTGCCGATCCTACTGGTCAACACCCGTGGACACGGACCATGCTCTGCTACAACCGAGATTGCCCCTACACCTAGTAAACAAAAGCAGAAAAGCTACCGAAAACGGATTCCCAAGATACAATGTCAGCAATGGTTGCAAATCGGCATTCAAAGCGGAACTATCAGATCACCTCTCAGCTTAACCATCAGCCGGAGAACTCAGTGAACACTGAACGAAAATCAAGGAAGCGATCAAAACGTCGATCAAAATAAGGGCAAGTTCTGGCGCACGATCAAATCAAAAACGATGGATCTCGCCGACCTCGGTTGCCTTACTGGACGCGCGCGAAGCCATTTCTTCAGACTCAAAAAACGACAAAGCGCGCAAATCCCATAAATGCCAGCTCATCAAGAGTCTGAAGAATGACCGCGAGAAGTGGTTGGTAGGAAAGTGTAGAGAGATGAAAAAGGCTGCGGTTATTAGCAACAGTCGCAATCGTTTTCGTTTAATAAGGAGGACAGGACCAAGGAAAGTAGGCATAAGTAAGGTAATTAAGGAGTCTGACGGCACATTGATTCAAATTCAGGAACACCGTCTTGAACGTTGGGCAGAACATTTTACGGTATATACATATATATATATTAACACTAATCTTTACAGATACGGCGCCAAAAAATAACCATGGGTGAACGAAAAAATACAGGTAAAAAAAGGGGATAACAAAACAGTCAACTTCGGGGAGTAACAATTTTTTGTTTGTTTACTGCACGCCATTTTGAGATTTTTTTCGTTTTTGTTTACTTTTGGGATTGCAAACAGGAGAGGACACATTCGCGCCACTGACTTCGGTTCGGTGCCATATCCCGCAGTGTCTCCAGCCAAAGACGATCTGAATCTTTGGGGGCCCAGCCGGGGAGCCGAGAAACACCAACGGAAGCCAGATCCGAGCACAATTTCTTTAACCCTCTGCGCCANGCCACGTCATAGCCTGCCCACCTTGTTGCTTCTTCCAGCCTGGACCAACGACTGCGAATGGTGCACGGTATGGCAGACGGTGCTCAGGAATTCGTAGGACGTGAAATTATTTTGCCCAAAGGAAGACTATCTGGTCCCNGCGGGCGATGTTGCGCAGACAGCGGTTGTCGAAGACTGATAGCTGGTGGACGTGATCTGCTCGGAGAGGCCAGGTCTCGCAGCCATAGAGCAACACGGTGCGTACCGTTGCGCAATACACACGTCCTTTCAGTGAAAGGGATATATCGCGCCGGCGCCAGAGATGTCGCAGATTAGCGAACGCTAAGCTTGCTTTGATCACGCGTTGAGAGATCTCCTCGCCCACACATACGCCAGCTGTTATGCAACTCCCAAGGTATACAAAGCTTTCGACTACTTCCAGATTGTCAGTATCCAATGAAAGTGCAGGGATGGGTTCCTGTCAGTCTTGCAACAACACTTTGCACTTTGAAGGTGCAAATGAAATACCATAACGAGTACCCTCCATTGCCAAACGGTTCAACGACTCTTGAATCGTTGGTGCGTTGTCATTCAGTAAGGCAATATCATCGGCGTACTCTAAGTCTACGACTCTGTCCCAAGGAAGAAGCTCGACGCCAGCGTTCGCTGCGTTATGTAACGCGTTTTGTAGGACATCGTCTATGGCAAAGTTGAAGAGAAACGGAGAGATAGGGCAACCCTGTCATACCCCAATGGTGACAGGGAATGAGGGTGAAAATTCACCATTTCACATTTTACGGTACAGTTCAGCTGATCCCCATCGACACAAGATCTCCACATACCAGCTTCAACTGCGCAAATACTGTTAGTTGATACCAGCCCTCCATCTGAAATAGAGGTTACCCAGGAAACAAGTTATCTCAAACGGCATAAGGCTTCCGGCCCCGACGGGCTGTCCCCATCCGTTTTTAAGGATGGAAGTTCAGCCTTGGTTTTGGAGTTAACAAAACTCCTGGGTTCAGTATGGGAGAGTTACAAGAAAGATGACAGATCCTCCTATGAAAACCACGGAGGAATTAGTTCAGGCAACATTGCATCTAAATTTCTCGCTGGTATCATACTCCGTCGATTGTCGACCGCACGTGAACGGTGTACGCGTGAGAATCAGGCCGGTTTCAGACCTGGTCGAGGCTGTATTGACCACATCTCCAATCTTCGTCAAATTCTAGAACACAGACACTCCTTTCGTAGACCCACTATTTTTATTTTCCTCGATCTAA